TTATGTTTTGGTCTGTTTTTCAAAAAATAAAATTATAGATAGATAGATAGATAGATAGATAGATAGATTGTTTTTGTTGTAATAGTATTTAGTATTGTTGATGTCATCACTGTCATTTTTTTGTCGAGATTTACAAACTACGTTTTGTTTAATTATATATAAACCAATCGAAAAAGCTGATTTGTTTTTCAAAAATTGTTACTTTAACAAAAAAAAACTACTTTGAGGTTTAATAATTTCAATAATTTAATTTTATAAATCTTCACGGTAACCAATATTTTTTTATAAAAATTTCTCTGCTTTCCTTTTCCCTTCTTAGCCTCGAAAAGTAAATTATTAAAATTTTTTACTCTTGAGCATGCAAAATGAATAAATATTTCTTTCTGGAGCCAAATTGCAACTTTTGTCTCTGTGATTTGTTTATAGTTCTTGCAAACGCAAAATGACTGGAAACTGGATTCTGTCCATTCGAAAAGATTATTCGGAAGATTTAGTACTTTGTCCCCCCCCCCACTTACCTGTTGGCAATTCTCTCTAAAATTTGGTTTCGATCAGTCAATATATGGCTATTTTATAGGGTGTGACGGATGGACTAACAGAAAAAAGAGAAATATTAATTGACAATAAAAATAAAATATATAAATGAAAAAAAAAAATTCAATGAAAAAAACGCTGTATATAAAGAATGCAACCAACACTAAATAAAATTAATCTTATATATAAAATACAATGTATGTGTGCTTGTTTGCGCGTGCGTGTGTCCAAGCAACTCCTCTACTCCAACAGGTCCGATTTCAGTGATTCATAGCTTATACAAAAGCCTTAGAAAAGTTAGGCGCAGGGAACGATTTTCGTTGAGCTCAGATTTAGTGTTGCCAGATTATGCGAGGTTAAAAATATATATTAATATATTATACTAGCCATTATCGTTGCTCTCGTGGTGGGTAAATCTTATTTTCCTTTTGTATCCAAAATTGCAGTGCACGTTTTATTATAAACTAGTTTAAAAACCGCCCTGTTAGTCGGCATTTAAGTTAGGTCTTGTGGAGGAATCTTGGTCTGACCATCATCACAATAGCTAGGGAGGAATGGATGCGATATTCATCAATAAACTACAGAAGAACTCAAATTTGATCGCTGCATTTAAGTATTGAATTAAGGTTTAAAAATGAGTCTTAAAATTTTCAACGATAATTCTTCTGCTGCTACTTAAAGACGATTTGATGTATGTAGATCCTTATTTTCCGTACAAACAATTATTTTTATTTCATGAGTGACAGAACAGGGGACAATTTATAAGATACAATTAATATAGTGTAAAGATGGGAAAATAGAAATTATAATTAGTCATACATTCAACATTTGAAAAGTTAGAGAAACATAATATCTAATTAAGTAAAACCTATATTATGGAATCTACGCGAATAAATAGCGAAATTGGAGCTCAATTATCCAACGAATTCTGGGGTTAAAAAGATTCTAATTCATGTTTTACTTTGTTCCTCAACCTAAGGGCGAGATAATTACAAGGTATTTTTTAAAGTGGGGACTTTTAGCATTTAAGTAAATTTAAGTAAATCTGTTTATAATAAATTTTATTAACAACATTTACCGGTCTGAATGCCTGAATGTGAGAAATTTTCAAAAAAGAAAAAATATGCGTCCTCCGACAGGAATCGAAACTGTATCCTATACGGAACCGTCATGTAGCCTGACGTGCCTTAACCGATTGGGCCACAGAGGAGCGTTCTGTTAGCAAGGTCGATTTTACTGTTTTTAAACACAATTCTCTATGATTTTCTCTCATTCATTCATATCTGCTCAATGCGTATCCAAATGTAAACAAATGACGTCACACATTATGAAATGGACAAAGTCCGACAATTTTTTTTTAAAAATTTTTTATGTTTATATATTTTTTCATAGATACAAATATTTAAGTAAATATTTGTTTATAATAAACAGGCCAAAATTTAAATGTTGTTTAATACAAATTTAATTATAAAAATATTTATTAAATAATTATTACTCTATAAAAATAATAAAAATAAAAATAAAAATAATTCTTAAATATATATATATAATATATATATATATATATATATATATATATATAAAGAAAAAGAAATATAAAAAATGATATATGGTTTGTTCAATTATTATATTTTTTATTTTTTTTACAAAACAGTGTTCAATGTAAATATTCAGAGCATAAATATTATAAATTAACTGATTTAAAATATATTTTTTTCGCTACACAGTAATAACCATGTTTCAAAAATGGAAGCTAAAAACTTTAAATTTAATTATATAATTAAATTAAAAGAATTAGTTCCGTTTCATCTTGGAATAATTATTTTTAAATTTACTGAGTTTTTAAACGAATATATATAAATTCATATTTTCCTGTTTCCAAGGATACAGACCAAAATCCATTCATTCAGACATATATTGTATTGTTGTTTTTTTATTAAATATTGTTGTATCAATTATGAGTTACGTTCGAAAAAAAAATGGTTTATTTGTAGGAAAATATAATATATATAATATTTTTAAAATGAATTATGAAAATGTAAAAATGCATGTCGTTGTTTTTTTATCTTTAAAAAAAAGTTTTTTGAGCAATTTTTGGCATTTTTCGGATTTGAAGGACCTTCCTTTTAAAAGATTCTTTTTACGTTTTATTTAACTACAATTTTAAAATATCCATTAACCAGATTTGTTTTTAATAGATATATTTCTTTAAAAACAAGTAAATGTAAATAAATCAAAATAAAAAAATCCCAAATATCATTTAAATTTTTAAATTCAAATAAAAAAAAAAATATTAATATATTTTTTTCAATATAAAAATATATTTTAATTTAAAATTTCTAATTATAAAATTCTGACATTTCTTATAATATATTTTTTATAAATATATTAATATATATATATATATATATATATATATATATATATATATATATATATATAGATTTTTATTAATTTGTCAAAATATTAATTCAAATTATTTTTTTTTATTTAATACCCAATCAATTTTATTAAAATTTGGGATATGAACGGAATTATTTTAAAAAATTTAATTATAAATTTTAAAAGTAAATTTTATATATAATAGAAAGTGATCTAATTTTTTCTTAATAACAAAACTTTAATTTGATATTAATAAAACAATAAAAATTGAATAAGAATAAGAATTTTTTGTTCTTTAAATTTTATTTTAACATAAATATCTTATAGATGATACTTTTAAAAAATAAATATAAATCAATGATATTTAGATTTTCAATATTTTTTTCATAAAGAGAAAAACATCTAGAAAAACATAAAACAAAAAAAAAATGAAAAAAACACAAATAAACACAAAACACAATGTATATTGAATATTTCATAAAATAAAAAATAATGAATATTTTTAAAATTTATAAGGAACGAACACAAATGATTGATGCCTTTGTCCATTTTAAATGAAATTTTTTAATAGAATATATATATTGTTATATATATATATATATATATATATATATATATATATATATATATATATATAATTTTTTTTGTTAGATTTTTTAAAATTTACATATTTTGGTTAAATAATTTTCGGTTTTGCCATATTTTTAGTGGACTTTTAATATTACTATCAAAATTTTACATTTTATGTTCATAAATAAAAAAATTGAAAAATAAAAATTTAATGACTTAAAATATAAATATATATATATATATATATATATATATATATATATATATATTATATATGATATATATAAATATATATGAAAACAAAAAAAAAAATAAATGTTATAATATATCCATATAAATTATATATTTAGCTTTTCATAAATATTATATGGAAAAAAAAAAATATAAATATATATATATATATATATATAATATAAATATATATTAAAACCATAAAAATTAAAAATTGTATTTATATATATTTAAGGGCAACACAAAAACAAACACACATAAAACATATATATATATATATATATATATATATATATTATATAGGGAACAACAATATTAAATATTTATAAGAATTTTTTATCTTAACGCATTTTTACTATTCCACAGGAAACCACGCCGTTTTAAACATAAAAAAGAAAATAAAAATAATATATTTATATATATATCTTATATATATATTATATATATATATATATATATAAAAGTTTATATATTGAAATAAAATCTGATAAGATGTATATTTATATATATATATATATATATATATATATTAAATAAATATTTATTCTATAAATTGTTAAATTCAAAATATAAAGATATATAAATATATATATATATATATATATATATATATATATATATATATATATATATTTATTTTACACACATCATATATATATATATATATATATATATATATTTATATATATATATATATATCATATTTGAAAAAATTGATTAGGTTTCACTTCAAATTTTATTTAGTTATTTTAGAAAAATTAAAGGAATCATATAGAATTTATTTTGACAAAATCACATAATAGATAAATAAAAAGATGAATAGAATGGATAGGAGATAGACCAGGGCAACTTAGACGCCGACAAATTGAATGATTACATTTGAATTTTTTAAGAATTAAATATTAATAAAGGAAAAACAATAATTGGGGAGGGAATTTTGTTGATTGATTCAGAGAAACATGAATTTTACACTTGGAAAAAATGACATGATCATGACTACATTTAACATTTTGACAGTGAAAGAATTTGATCTTTGGAATTATGTTATAAAAGCGTTTGCTTTCCCACAAATTGGAAAAGTTCGAATTTTTTTTTCGCTAGGTGCAGTATTTTATATATATAAAATATTTGTGAAAAGACAAAGAGGTATTTTTCGCGATAATTTGATTTTGTAAAATTTTTGAAAAAATTATTCTTGCAGACGAGATGCCAAATGAAATCAGGAATGAAAAAATAAAAATGTGCAATACTATTCTCTGGAAATTAATATATATATATATATATATATATATATATATATATATATATATATATAATTTATATACAGTTAAAGAAATTTTAATTTGAATTTTAGATTTGTTTTCTGTATTCATGAAAAACAAATGTGATGTG